TATAAAAGAAGGATTTACCTCGTCAAGATTATATATACGGATTTCTTTATCTGTAGTACTGCTGACAAATAAATTATGTAACGGCGAGCATTTGATACAGGTAATGCTACCTTCGTGTCTTTCATATTCGTCGATTACGGGATCCATGAGCGTGGCATCTCCTGAAAAATTGATAAGAATAAATTTTGTTTAGAATGAAAATTTTACTTTTTTAACAGGTACAAACCTTCGATGGAAGTTACACTGTCTAAACTACATTTATAGATTCCACCACATAGTGTTCCAACGACAAATATACTAGGATGTCGTGGAGAAAAATCAAAACTCGTAATGCACAATCCTGCTTCCGCAGCGCGCTCGCGAGTACCTCCGGCGCTGCGTGGCCTAGCATTTTCCACTGGATTACGTTCTTTGACTATCTTGAATCTAAAATACGATAGACATTTGTAATTTATTAAAAAACATCGTATCTCTAAATAAATCGCGAAAAAAGAGAGAGGGAGAGAATACAGCTTGTAATACCGTTTATGCAATTGGACGGTAGTAAAGTTGGTTGTCAATTTGTGAATCAGTATATATCCATCTCTGCTGGAACTTAATAATAGGGACACGTCGTTCACTGATCTCGGTCTCCAACATACTTGAGATACACAATCGCTATGTGTACATACATGTGTGGGTGTAATAGAATCATCATTTCTAAGATTCCAGACCAACACGTCCCCTTAAAGAAAAAGATAAAAATTGTGTAAAAATGTATTAAATGTAATAAAATTTAAACTTTCCTTAATATCGTTTTTAATTCAGATTGAAGAAACTCACAATTAGACAATCCAGCTGCAAGAATAGAGGGTTCTGTTGGATGATAACATAATGTTGTGATACATCCATTTGTCTCTAAAGTTTTGGTAGGTTCATCAGTGAGATTATCCTCTATTGTTAAATTATATAATTGAATTGTAGAAAGATGATCACACCATGCTTCATGATAGATATGGCTGAGGCCTACTGCTAATGTACCACCAACTGTGCTCCATGATAGGTCACTTACTTTTATCTATAAAATGTTTGATATTAAACAGTTCATGTATATGATGTGATTATTTAATTTTATTAAAGATAGACATACCTGAGTGTCTGATTCTTTCAATGTGCTTATTTTTTTCAATATCTCTACATTAGCAGAGGTAGTTTCTGTAACATTAGGATTATAATCATCAAAAGCATTGCTACCATAAGCTTCGTCAAGGACTTCCAGGATTCCCGGAGTAACTTTTTTTAGAAATTCTGCCAATTTGTCATAATCTACTTGCATGTCTGTATTCTGTTTATTTATTGTCTGAATCTAAAAATATAAAAAGTAATATTGCATAAAGAATCACAAAATGCAACATATAACAGTAATAGTATTTATGATATAAAATTAGTTATTTAAAATAAGTATTGAAGCAATAATAATTTAGAAGTCTTTAATATGTAAAAATTAAGTACACAAGATAAACACTATTTTATAGTATTTAACAATGTTTTATTCACAATCTCTATACCATTCACAATATTCATAATTTATAAAGCACTTCTTATTTATTAAATATATATAAATTGGATCAAACTCTGAAATTTAATAAAATATAGCATTTTTTATAACAAGAGATACCCCAATGCTCCTTGTATCTGCGGTTTGCGTATCATCAGCAGTATAAACTATTTCTGTGGTTTGAACATTTGCGGATGTTTCTAATCTGGAAAAATAAATGCATACAATGTGTTTAATTATCAATTAAAACAAAAAAAGTGTTAAAACGATTTAAAATAATACAAATGGTAAAATAACATACTTCGTTGTAGACAATTCCGAATTGAAACTCACAACGTCAAAGGACTTGGTATTAAACATTTTTCAATAGAATAAATCTTTTCACACCTATCTCTTTTGTTTTAAAATTTAAATATGCATTTATTTATAAATATGCAAGAAACAAAAGTATTTCAGATTACACTCTGCGATTGATTATTTGAGCTGTCTTTAGGCTACTCGTCTCTTTCGTTTTAAAATTTAAATATGCAAGAAACAAAAGTATTTCAGATTACACTCTGCGATTGATTATTTGAGCTGTCTTTAGGCTACTCTGAGTTCTGGGACTTGAAACGCTGTACTGAATTATATAGTACATTTAACAGAATATCAGCTGAGAGATAGAACTGCTCTCGCCATCTATGCATTAAAGATAATAACTACTTGATACATAAATTCTACATCTACAAAGTGATGTTTTTCTTTAACAGATAATATAGATTATGGAAACAATTATATTGTTAGACTCCAGATGTTTGAACATCAATGAAATATTATTAAAAAGTAATTTCGAACTAAATCTTTTAATCTTTCAAACTAATTTCTTTTTTTTGGATCAATGAAAAGTTAACATATGTACCTCTTGCAGTGTAAATTAATTTTGTAAAAAGTAGTTCTATTATTTAAAAGAGAGATGAAATTTATATATTTGTGTATGTTTGTGTCAATTATATATCAATTCAAAGAATCTATTTATTAGCTTTTTTACATTTATGATTTTTAAATTATTGCACAATATATCAAATACAATAATCAAATACAATAGTACCCAGACAGCACAAAACGTCCTCAGGATCATCCTGAATATGTCCAGGATGGTTCAGGATATTTGTAGGATGTTTTAAGATATTATTATAAATATATTTTATGAAAATTTAATATGCATACATGATTACTTTCGGTTATGTAGGCTATTTAATATAATTTAGAAATTTTAAGTATTGTAATAAGTATTAATGTCCTATAAATGTCCATTGGATAACCCCTGGATGTCTGTAGGATATCTGCCCTGTCTATTACCCAGACAGCACAAGGATGTCCTTAGGACGTCCAAAGGGCATCCAATATAATAGACAGGGCAAATATCCTACAGACATCCAGGGGTTATCCAATGGACATTTATAGGACATTAATACTTATTACAATACTTAAAATTTCTAAATTAAATTAAATAGCCTACATAACCGAAAGTAATCATGTATGCATATTAAATTTTCATAAAATATATTTATAATAATATCTTAAAACATCCTACAAATATCCTGAACCATCCTGGACATATTCAGGATGAACCTGAGGACATTTTGTGCTGTCTGGGTCACTATGTAGAAAAAGCAAAATCTCGCAAGCTTACAAATATATGTTTAATACTACAAACACAATAATGAGATATTAAAACAGTGACATACGCGAGGTTAGGATATCTGTCATATGTGCAGTAGGCAATGTATAAAAACGTTCTGTTAAAATATTTTTATTATTTATATATGGGTTTATTTTTTGTATATATATATTTTTCCTGTTGTTTGCTATCCGTAAACAATTAATAATTGTACTCTTTCGAAATTAAAATTCCACATATATCACGACATCGTGAGATTTTACGTGCAAAAGAGTACCGTACAATTATTAAATGTTTACAGACAATATATCATACATAAAACACAGATATACAACAAAAAAACCATATATAAATAAAAACATTCTAACAGGTCGTTTTTATATATTGCTTACTGCATACATGACAGATATCCTAACCTCATGTATGTCACTATTTTAATATCTTATTATCAGTTTTCAGTATCAAACATATTTGTAAGTTTACGAGATTTTGCTCTTCGTACAAAATGACATTGGGTAAGTATTCTTTGCTAATGTGATAGAACTTGGGTACTTTAGTAATGTGGGACAGTTCTTATTGTTAAATATAAATAATAAGACATTACAATTAAAAACGAGTATTTTCTGTTATATCTTCTTAGCTTATAATACAAGAGTATGTATATGTAACATAAGTCTAATAATTTTCAAGTCATTAATCAATTTCTTTTATTTAGAGTGAGATCTTTACGCTAGAAATAAATCATTTTTGGGTCTACGTGTGCTGGGATAACTATTGTACAAGTACAGTATGAGGTGATGTTTTTAAGTATTGTGTTTTCTGACTGTTCGTTTAACCTAAAGAAAGACTGAATTGTGATGATGACAATTATGCTGGTAAGATTGCTTTACAAGATCTTAATGTCACGCTACCTATTTATATTATATCATGTTTATTTTCATATTAAGCAGGCAAAAGTAATAACTCGGCACTAATTTGCAAACCAAGAATCCAGCTTGCATCGAATGTCTGGAGGGAATCCATTAACAAAGCACGAGAATCTTTTAAGCGAGAGTTCAATATTATAGTCTCCGCTAATAGAATCTTGTGATCTGTAATGGAATGATCAACGCTCATTCATTAACTTGCAGTGTCTGTTGAAGCAATAATGATTTTGTACTGTTGACGTGTTAGAAGATTGAATATGAAGATTGAGTTTGAAGATTGAACATTTATATCGCTATTCAGTTAGTGAATATATCAACGAAGACAGTGCTTTGGCATATTATATCCAAATATGGCATATTGTAATATTTATATTATTATACATATTATATATATCTCACAAAAGAAAAATCTTACAACATTTTGTTCTTAACCGATTTATCAGCATTACAATTACATTGCAGTGTACATATGAACACATTATTTTTCAGAGAAATAATCTTGTATCAATATGATAATTATATTTATAATAATTAAAAAATACTTGAAGGTTTACATATATGTACTATCACATATAATGCATATACATATGTTGAAATATGGAATTATTAGAAATATTAGAATAGATATATTTATATATTTGTGTATCGGTGTATTTCATATGGTGAACGAAAAATTTTACCGCACTCTTTCGCACTTGAAATCTTACGATGCCGTGACATACTTGAAATTTTAAGTGCGAAAGAATACGGTATAATTCTTCATTGTTCACCATACGAAATACACCGATATACAAATATATAAATATATCTATTCTAATATTTCTAATAATTCCATATTTCAACATATGTATATGCATTATGTGAGACAGTACATACATGTAAATCTTCAAGTATAATTATTACAATATAATTATCATATTGATACAAGATCATTCTTTGAAAAATAATGTATTTATATGTACACTGCAATGTAATTGTAAAATTGATAAATCGGTTAAAACAGAATGTTATAAGATTTTTCTTTTATGATATAGATAATATACATATATAATATATACATATATAATACATATATAATAATATATATATTACAATATGCCACATTTGCATATAATATGCCAAAGCACTGTCTTCGTTGATATATTCACTAACTGAATAGCGATATAAATGTTCAATCTTCAAACTCAATCTTCATATTCAATCTTCTAACACGTCAACAGTACAAAATCATTATTGCTTCAACAGACACTGCAAGTTGGTGAATGAGCGTTGATCATTCCATTACAGATCACAAGATTCTATTAGCGGAGACTATAATATTGAACTCTCGCTTAAAAGATTCTCGTGCTTTGTAAATGGATTCCCTCCAGACATTCGATGCAAGCTGGATTCTTGGTTTGCAAATTAGTGCCGAGTTATTACTTTTGCCTGCTTAATATGTTTTTATATGATTTATATATTTTTTATCGCAAATAATATATTTATTTTTATATAACAAATGTAACAAAATAATATTTCGCTGATGTCTAAAAGAATTATTTTTTTAAATATTTATTAATTACTTAATCATATATGTATATAAACTTATAAGATCTTCGGTAAAATGAATAAATGATTAATGCGTGACATACATACATGATTCCAAACATGTTTCACAGATGCGTTTAAAAGTCAGATCACATGATAAGTATATATAATATCTTCAAACTTAATGTACATTCTGATCTCTGTTGAACAGCATTATTATTCCATGAAAAACTTTTACATTAATGTTATGAGAGTAATATTATTTCTCTCAATATATTATAAAAATAGTATTCTCTTTCTTTCTATTCTCTATTCTCAACAATCTTGACAAACATTTTTGTCAAACATTTCTTGCTATAAATGTAATATTTTTAAAAATATATCTTGTGTATAACAATAATACTATTTATATAAATGAATATTAATCGTGTACAATAGAGAATCTTATTTCAAATTATTAGCTGCCCAGACAGCACAAAACGTCCTCAGGATCATCCTGAATATGTCCAGGATGGTTCAGGATATTTGTAGGATGTTTTAAGATATTATTATAAATATATTTTATGAAAATTTAATATGCATACATGATTACTTTCGGTTATGTAGGCTATTTAATATAATTTAGAAATTTTAAGTATTGTAATAAGTATTAATGTCCTATAAATGTCCATTGGATAACCCCTGGATGTCTGTAGGATATCTGCCCTGTCTATTACCCAGACAGCACAAGGATGTCCTTAGGACGTCCAAAGGGCATCCAATATAATAGACAGGGCAAATATCCTACAGACATCCAGGGGTTATCCAATGGACATTTATAGGACATTAATACTTATTACAATACTTAAAATTTCTAAATTATCCTACATGTATGTCCTGGATGCCCTTTGGACGTCCTAAGGACATCCTTGTGCTGTCTGGGTGTAATTACAATTAGTATTTGACTATTTTGTGTTTAATTATTAATATTTTGTTATTTGATTATGACGGTCAAATGGTTTAAATCTATGCAACTAAAACTATTTCGCCACGATATATTTCTCCCTGAGCAATTCGCCTCTTACAAATATTTTCAATCATACTTCAGTTGATAAATGCACTTTTATTCACAGATACCGCGCTTGCAGAATAATCCGTTTGCGCAAGAACATAAAATGAAATGGACATCCTTAAGTTCTAATTGCATATCATTTGGATAAGTATAATTAGCCGTAATAGTATCAGCGTTTACTCGGCATTGTTCGCCCTTCTGTTGAAACGGCATACAGTACGGTACGGAGTACCTTGAAGGTCCTAAAAATACATAATATTGAACACATTGCTGTCAAAATCTTGGAGATGTCGATCTTTAACTGAAAGTATATATCTAAGTATAATAATATAGGCACTTACAAATTTTCAACTATTATAATTTTTTTGATAAAGCTATCTTATGTGAATTAAATGTATACAAATATTAACATAAAAAATACGTCCCTATGAATTTGGAAAGCATCTTTTAGTACAAGAAAGAAAGGAGACACAAACCTAATAAACAGCAATAACTTGATGTACATTCCGAATTAGTTGTACATTCAGTAGACAGAGGGTCGAATGTAGGAATGGCCGGAACTGTCCCTGCTAAGATGACAAGTAAAAGTGTACTTAACACCAGCGACATAATTGCTTGATAAACTGTGGAAAATAGAAAATTATGGTATAAAATAGTTCTTCAAATTAAACTTACAAGAAAAATACAAGAGAAAGAGAAAGATGCTTATCAATCATTGTATTATTACCTATTGCACACTGTCAAGGATTTTTAATATAACAATAAATACAGAGTGTCCGGTAAAGATTGTGCCAACGCTCGTGAGCGGGTAGAGCACAGTAATCTGAACAAAAAAGTCCTGTAACATTTTTTTATATAACGCGTAATAAAGGAATTATTATTGAGTAAAGTCTGGCCAATCAGCGCCAACCTTTAGCCGGGCGCACGTCAGTGAGCCCCGCGCTGTGATGTGTGCGCCGCCGCATACTATCAGGCGGGCGGCTTACCGACGTGCGTCCGGCTAAAAATCGGCGCAAATTGACCAGATTTTACTCAATAATAACTCCTTTATTAAGCGTTATATAAAAAAATGTTACAGGACTTTTCTGTTCAGTTTACTGTGCTCTAGCCGCTCACGAGCGTTGACACAATCTTTATCGGACACCCTGTATATAATAGTATTTTTCGTACGTAACGCTTGAAAATCATTATATGTTTCATAAAAAAAAATATGTGTTTCTTCTTTTTTCTTTTCTTGCCATTTTTTCTTAATATATTACATTTTTGACATAAAATAATATTGAATTTAAAAACGCGTAAAATTTTTGAATTTCTTAAAATTTTTAATTAATTAAAAAAGAGTACATATACAAATAAGATTTATAATTCTCACTCATTGTAATTTCTTTCTTGATTTTTATAATGATCGGTTCATCGTAATGCGGCGATTATGTTTACATGAACGTCACGTATAAACGCGGAATCGAATACAAATTATATCGAGCGTTGACACAATCTTTACCGGACACCCTGTATATAATAGTAAAATAAATATATGTATAATATAAAATATAAAGTGCATTTAGAATATAAATAATAAAGTTTCATGGGATTATGCATTTTTAGATTATGTTTTTGTATAATAATTATTAATTATTGTCCCAGAAAAGAATATCCGGAAATGTAATGCGCATGCAATACGTAGGTCGAATTTGTATCTGATTTAGACGTTACTCATACTCGAGCGGCCATGAAATTCTACATATACTTTTCTGTACAGCATTGTCATTTCTGTTTAATGACACTTATTTTTACGATTCAAAAAACGGATAAATTATAATACACTATATTAGAAATAGAAACTTTTATATATTTATTAACACAATTAGTTTGTTTTTCAATTATAATGATTGTTATGAAGTAAAGAAAACTTAAAAAAAATAATGAAACTGTTATTTAAATAATAAAGTTAAGTAATATTTCTTATTTAAAAATCTTTCTTTATCGAACTGCTATTCAATAGTAAATAAATAAATGCGAAATTATTATATTGTCGAATTGAATTAAATTAAAAAAGCCATTATCAAAAAATTGGTGACAATGTTAGATAAAAATCTTTCGTGGAATTTTTTCCTGAATTTTCACAAAAATCGGTCGTGATTTTTCACTATGCACGTTCATAAATTTTCGATTGTATTTACATTGTTTGTATTATCGCGAATAAAAAGGAATATTGCTCACCAATATTTTCAAACACGGAAACAAGCACAAACATATATATTACAAACCTGCTGTTATTTCACGATCCACACTTATCGCGCACTGCACAGCATATGATCTCATGAACTGGTGAACGCATTGTTTTATACCTCCGGCTCCGCGTTCAAATTGTTAAGGATGTATATCCGCAGGTTAAGTTGATAGCAATGGCAAACCTAGAACAAAATTTTTGAAACTTTGTTATTATCGGCGGAATACATGTATTAATAAAATAATAAAATAATAGTTATTTCGTAGATTTAGATAGTTTGTTGTGAAAGAAAAGGAGCAAAAGCGACGCGAGAGATGATCAAGCAAATATGTAAATAAGCGATAAAATTAGTCTTAAGAGGAAAAACAAGGATCTTAATAAGTTTCTTACATTATCGTAACGTTTTTTTTTATCTTTAGATTCTCTCTCTCTCTCTCTTTGCGGTTTTTCTCTAATATGTTATTATAAATATAAAATGCAATAATTGTAATACTTTTGCGTTATACAAGTGAGAAACACTTTTCTATGCATCTATCACGCATCTACCGGCATTGATTTAAAAAATGTTTACATTTTAAATTGAAAGTTTGCTTAATCGATTATCGGAAATAAATTAAACATATACTTTCACTTTATTTACAACAACTTTTAGAAATTGCCAATATAAAAATAATATCACGCAATATATATATATATATATATATATATATATATATGTGTGTGTGTGTGTGTGTGTGTGTGTGTGTGTGTGTGTGTGTGTGTGTGTGTGTGTGTGTGTGTGTGTGTGTGTGTGTGTGTGTGTGTGTGTGTGTGTGTGTGTGTGTGTGTGTGTGTGTGTGTGTGTGTGTGTGTGTGTGTGTGTGTGTGTGTGTGTGTGTGTGTGTGTGTGTGTGTGTGTGTGTGTGTGTGTGTGTGTGTGTGTGTGTGTGTGTGTGTGCGTGTGTGTGTGTGTAATTATATCTTTTTAAATTTAAAATACAATATTTATCGTAAATTTTTACAAAGTGTAAAATATATGCTGAAATGTGTGTGATAAATAATTAACAGAAATTAATATATATTTTTATAATATTGATTATATAATTGTGTTAATGACGATTCTCTATTAAATTATGTCATGGTAATAGATGATGATGTATTTCTAGAAGATAAAAGTGGTTGCTCGATCGTCGATTAAGATAAATAATTTTTCCAACCGCTACGTCATTGTTATTATAAATATACTTAATAATGAGCAGCTAATTGGACAATTCGAAGCCTGTTTACAAGACATTGAAGAATCACATATTGACCATTACGTAATCAAGGATTCGGAATTTCCAAGATGCAAATAAATTCATTAATGCATGGAAAATGCGTTTCTGGGAAATTTCATGATTTGTCGAGTATTTTTTTGCAAAATAAATTATCCTCCTCTAGCATTCTATTATTAAAATTAAGTGTAATTATAATTTGTATTAAAATGCTATTGCCATCAGTTTTTCTTTATCATGTATACAGGGTGTCCCCAATTTAAATGTCAAAACTTTAGGAGCGTGTAGGGGACCGATAAACTAGTGTATGTGTCCATATTTTTAAACTGTATTATTACTTATTTTTATCGATCTGCAATAAGCATATTAAGATATCATAAAGATAAATATTTCTTCGTCTATCACTTTCTATTTCTAGATTTAGAAAAAGGAGAAAAATTCATATATATTAATTATACATATATTTATATTTGATTATATATAGACTTTTTTCCGAGATTTTGAGCGTTATCAGATGTGACCAAATATGAACTACGCAATGGCCGCGTTCAGCAGAGAAAACCGCTTAGTAGTAATCGAATGTGATTGGTTCTTACTTTTAGAACCAACGAATCAACGTCGAGTGTTGACAAGACGATAACTGAGCGCTTTCTCTGCTGAACGCAGCCTATGAGAGTTGCGCTTTTCACCAGGATTGTCCTTGCCATTGGCTGTCGCTAGTTAACGATACC